AGCATTCTGGGTAAAAGATGATGTGGATAGGTCCTTGGTGCAAGGCTGCTAGCAAGCTATTTCCACCCTGAAGGTTAATCTTGAACAATATCTGACAATTGGCTCTTTTAAATGAAACCAGAGAGCGTTGACAGAGAGGAGAAGGAAAATATGGATGGAGGAGCTCAGTTTAGCTTGTTTGTTGCGCTTGCACCGAGCTAATACATATAAGGCTATATAGCGTCGGGACTAACGCTAAAGCTAACAGGCTAAGCTGAGGTTCTTCTTCCATGAAGCAGCTCTGTTGTCCTCCATCCATATTTTCAGTTCCAGGCTGAGTCATTTCTACCTTCTCCTCTCTGTCAACGCTCTCTGGTTTCATTTAAAAGAGCCAATTGTCAGATATTGTCCAAGATTAACCTTCAGGGTGGATATAGCTCGCTCACACCGATGACCTATCCATGTCATCATTTACCCAGAATGCTTTGCGTGTAAATAAAATGGCCCCGTCCATGTAATATATTTTTAAACTTTTAGTTAAAAAATTTACAAAACTAAGCAGTCTACAGTATTTTTACAGTCTTTATTTTACAGTTACAATATATGTTTATCAAATAAAGTCTAATGTTACAACTAATCGGGGATCCCTTTAAACACTGTTTCTACGCAGGAAATACCGGGTAGAGCTCAGTTATTGTTTGTTAGCAGTGCTCGGTTGTTACCATGAGATGAGGAAGTTAAACATGAACCGCTGGTGTTAAACTGACCCTTTGAAGAACATTAATATTTATAATAATAATGTCACTGGATGTTTCTGTAACTAACTTTTAGGGTTAATCCWGTTCAAGTTGGCTGTCACAGCAGCACAGAGGCTCAGCTGGTAGAGTTGTTGCCTCTCAGCAAGAAGGTCGCTACATCGAATCCTGGCCCGGGGCTAAAAACTCTAAATTGTCCTTAGGTGAATGGTTGTTTGTTTTGTTYGTCTCYATRGCCTCATTCATAAGACAGCTCAGTCCAGGACTGACKCATGTTCTGCCCTYCGAGCATTCAGAAAACACACGAAGGTGRAAAGGCGAGTGAAGCAAGCCAGCCTGTGATGCCCCTCTGAGMCCCCAAGCGAGGTAGTCTGAGAGCTGGGCCCAAGGTGGACTGACCGACTYGTGAAAAATCAACCTGCAGCTCAGAAAATGATAATGAGCTGATGACATCAGTGAGCAATTACAGGATTAATTAACAAACAGATTTATTACTGAGGGAATATTAAAGATGACACGAAACAGCAACTTTGTAGTTAGTTTAAAAATATTGAACCAATGGATCGCTAAAACTCTGTTTATTGTTTTTTGTGTGTGTGTGGGAATGTTTTTGCAACGTGTTAACCATTTTTCCAGAAAAAGTCAACGCACGGTACCCATTGGGATATAAAAACTAACCTGTGTGTGTGTGTGTGTGTTTGATACGATCGAGACAGACATCAACTTGCGCTATACCGCAGGAAGGAATCAACAGATTTACTACAGAGGAAATATTAAAAACTACATGAAACAGCAACTTTGTGGTTAGTTTTTTAAAAAAAATTGAACCACAGAATCACTAAAATGAGTTAATTTGAAAGAAAGTTGTTCACAGCACTGACTTTACTGTAAATCTTCTCTGAATCTGAGAAACTTTACGAACACTCCCTCCTCAGCACCATTAATCCTGTTTTCTGAATATTTTTACAACCCAGAGAGCAGAAATATGAATGTGGAGCTTTGCTTCAGGCCAAAGTGTGTTTGATCCCGGGATAAGAGACATGTCCTCATTCCGGGAGGAAACGTGTTAACCCTTTCAAACCCTCGGGTCATGATACATGACACCGAAGGTGCTGAACTCAGCCTTATAATTTAGGAAGAAGAATTACAGCTGTGTACAGCTCCCTACTTAACCTTGTCTCCCAGTGTTGGGTCAGTTTTTTCTCCATTTTCTTCAGTTTATATCACCTTCTACCTTTCATCATTTGTGATAGAATGTGTTCATGCTGCAAAGTTTAGCCAGTCTGTCAACATGTCTATCTGTCTAATGATTTAGTCATGGTTRCYGATAAAAGCTCYTGATTTTCATGATAGAATCAAAAAGCCAAACTATTATGAATGTCCATGCTGTCTCATGCACAATTTGTAACACACAATAGTCAGCAAATTAAAACCAGTGACGGGGTTCATACAGGACACGCACAGTTTGTAACATTGCATCACCAAAATGAAAGAGTATTTCTTCAGAACAATGAGAAAGAAAGAAAATATGTTAGGTGGCCACAACCTTAGTTTGAGCCTCTGTTTTTCACGTTTTTCTTTATTTTTTATTATCAACCACTCATATTTGGAAAAAAGCGAATACAAGAAACAGCGGACTGAATACAACACTAATGAGGAAACATTTATGAAGTAGAATTGTGAGGCCCACCAGGCTTTGGTGTAATTTATAAGTATTAAAATTTTGATAAAGTAAATTTAAATTATCCATTTAGTACTGCTTATTCAAGCTCAGGTTATGACCACTGTTTCTGTTCTCAGATCAAGGAGGATACCCACCTAGCTGAATGTCTGGCCCACACAATTCACTAACACTCAGCCCAGATACCACAGAGAATGACAGCCCTACAACCGGGCCAGCCGTAGACTTGACTGATTTAGGCCACATAAACCAAACCACAACCAGGGCAGTTGTAGCATTGACAGATACGGGCCACATAAACCAAACCACAACTGGCCCAGTTGGGGCACGCCATCTTAAAAACAATGCTTGACACCAGATCTGGCCAACTTTTGTCTGCTATGAGGGAATATACAGTGGTTTGCAAAAGTATTCATACCCCTTGAACTTTTCCATATTTTGTCACATTACAAC